CCCGGCACCCTGCCGCCAGTCACGTGGTGCCGGCTCCGCACGCGCGCCTGGGGAGCCGGCGGTCGCTGATTGGCTGCTGGCGGCGCCGCCGCCTGAGGCGGGAGGAGGTGCGTTCCCGGGGCCGGGCCCGCGGTAACGGCGGCGGCAGGCCTGAGGCGGTGGGTGCCTCAGGGAGGTGGCTGATTATCCTGGGACGGCTCCCCGGTCTTCTCCTGCCTTACCGGGCCAGTCATGGAAACCCGTCGCCACTGGAATCACCGGCTGGCGCCGTTCTCGGAGCCGCACCGGCCCCCGGATGGAGCCTTCGCCTCTGGGCCCTTAGTTCTGCAGGCCAGAGGTGGTGGCTTGCCCTGCCTGCCTGGTGATCTGAGGCGCCTTCCCTCGGGCTTTGTCCTCAAACAGCAGCGGCGGCATGTTTAGTTGGCACCCGCTGCCACTCTTCCGCATCGCCACAGAAGATGAATCCAGAACTGACTGGGCAGTGAAAATCAAACCACCTCCTGGTCTGGACAGAAGGAGAAGATAGGGCCACGGAGATGATCAGAGGGATGGAGCACCTCTGCTGTGAAGACAGGCTGAGAGAGCTGGGGTTGTTCAGCCTGGAGAAGAGAAGGCTCCGGGGAGATCTTAGAGCAGCCTTCCAATATCTGAAGGGAGCTACAGGAGAGCTGGGGAGGGACTCTTTGTCAGGAAGTGCAGTGACAGGACAAGGGGGAATGGTTTTAAATTGGAAGAGGGGAGATTGAGATGAGATGCCAGAAAGAAATTCTTTTCTGTGAGGGTGGTGAGACACTGGCCCAGGTTGCCCAGAGAAGCTGTGGCTGCCCCATCCCTGGAGGGGTTCAAGGCCAGGCTGGATGGGGCTTGGAGCAACCTGGTCTGGTGGGAGGTGTCCCTGCCCAGGGCAGGGGGTTGGAACTAGATGATCTTGAAGGTCCCTTCCAACTCTAACCATTCTATGATTCTATAAGCTCTTGGGCAATCCTCTCTGCAGTTGCTCTAAGGTGCTGTGAAGACATCACATAAAGTGGTGAAAACTAAGGCGGAGCAGCCAAGTCGTGAATGACATACCAGAGTGTGATGAACTGGGGAAACATAACTGGTTATTTTCACTTCTAAACCTATTCTGTGGGCAAAACAGTGTCAGTATCTAATAGAATAGATACTTATTAAATGAACAGTGCATTAGAAGACACAGAATGAAAAAGATTTAGCGTTATGGCACTGGAAAATACACTGCAGTAATTTTCATATTCCATACTACATGAAGAAACAGAAAATACGATGCTTTAGGCTATATGTCCCATTACACCTGACTACAAAGGTGGCAATGGAATGTGAAATTTTTTTTTAAATAACGTATGTACATTTAGTGTTTTTACAAGTTAGGCCATGCATTAGAGCAACAAATGTATACAGGGCTACAAAGATGATCAAAGGAATGGAGCACCTCTCTTATGAGGAAAGGCTGGGAGACCTGGGTCTGTTTAGCCTGGAGAAGACTGAAAGAGGATCTCATCAATGCTTAAAGGGCAGATGTCAAGAGGATGCAGTCAGGTTCTTCTCAGTTGTGCCCAGCAACAGGACAAGGTGCAACGGGCACAAACTGGAATACAGAAATTCCATCTGAACAGGAGGAAAATCTTTACTTTGAGGGTGAAAGAGCACTGGAACAGGCTGCCCAGAGAGGTGGTGGAGTCTTTTTCTCTGGAGATACTCAAAACCCGCCTGGAAACTTTCCTGTCCAGCCTGCTCCAGATGAACCTGCTTTGGCAGGAGGGTTGGACTAGATGTTCTCCAAAGGTCCCTTTCAACCCCTAGCATTCTGTGATTCTGTGATCAAATAAATAAATAAATAAAAAGAAAAGGCTAAAAGGCTTGTGCCTGAATCACTAAAAGTTTAAAGTTTGATGAATATTTCTGTAACATTTACACTCAGGAGACAAAACCAGCAATTCTAAGGGCTCTTGTTTTCTGCATTAGTTAACTTTCCACTGCAGTATTATCCCAGCTAAAGACCTTTATATAGGTCAGTCAGATGGTAGAGTTCTTAGGAGAACCTTTGGAATATTCTGTATTAATATGTTGACATTCAAGAAGCTCTCTAAAGTTTTAGTCAGTAGTTATCTCATTGCTTTCTGTAACACTAAAAGTGAAAATTCAGGTTCTCAAGACTTCAGGAGATCCTTTCCACAATGGTGTTCTACCGCACTGTCAGGCCAGGACTCCTTGCTGCTGTTTTGTCAATGAACTGAAAATGTAATTTTTGACTATCAAGGTATTATTCTCTTTGTACAGATAAATGCAAATTTCTATCACTGATTCCTGAAGGCAGTAATCTTTAAGTATGTTATGTTTATAATGGTTTGCCTCTCTGCAACATGTTCCTTTTCTTTTTGAGTGTTTGCCATACTGTTTTTGCAGAAGGAATAAGCATATTCTGGGCAAAAAGCCAAGAAAAAGTAGCTCTTACCAAGCTAAATTAGGTAATTACATTTTCACTGTGTTTTTAAAGCACAGCTGTATCTTTTCGGTTATGAGAATTAGTATATAATATACTGAACTTTATACTTTTCTTCTTATGTAAGGGAAAATGTCCCTTCAAAATGCAGACTTGTCTAATTAGCTCATTTTCTCCATTTTGAAAATCAGGAAAAGTAAATGCATTGCTTATTATAATTTTAATGTTTTTTATTTTTTCTGAGTTTAATGGTTCGTAGTGACCATTATCATATGTCTTTTACTTTTTTCTCTGTCAGAACTTGGTAGATGAGAACAAAATGACATCACTTTTGTTTTGATTTTCCACTGAAGCAATTGCATTAATATTGTATCTCAATATTTTTCGACACTATTTTAATGTTAGTTAGTAAGTATCAATGAAAGATGACATATATTTACTGAGTTTTCTCTATGCTAAGAAAATTCCACCGCTAGTGCCATTCTCTCAGTAACTGAAGAAGAATGATAGAAATTATGCTGTGATTTTGTTAAGTAGATACAGAGTAAGACTGCAGTATCTAACGGAGTTCCTTGAAGCCTACAATCTAAATAATCGCTAATATTCTAAGACTTTTTTAGTGTCTGTAAAAATTGGGTATGCAACATCTATGTGCATGTTTAGTAAACTAATACTGGTCTAGAAAACAAATTCATAAACTATTAAATGTATATTTTCTCAATGTAAAGTGCTCAAAAATTTGAGTCAGTATGCAAAAGTACCTTTTATCCTTAATTCATGTATCAGTGTCACAAGAGAGGAAAGTGTCCATGGTATTTTAAAACAGTTCCAAAAAAACCATCAGATATTAAGGTTTTTCATGTACGATAATGTTTAGCTTGTCCAAAAATCAATTTCAACATCAATTCTGCACAACTTATGTTTTTGTAACACGAGCCTCTATTGCTGGTTGTTTGTTGTTGGGGTTTTTTTTCCCCAAATTAACTCAAGTGGGAAAAGTCCTTTAAGTCTATAATTTTTAAATATCTGTATTTATGGTTTCCTTGGGGTCTGATGTGGTTTTGTTTTGATAATCATCTTCCCCGCCGAGTTGCCACACTGTAGCCCTTGAAATAGGCTGCTGTTGGTGAATGCTCTTCACTTTTTACTCAGCTGACCTGTCTCAAGGCACTCATCAGTAAATTTTGAAAATTAGGATTAGAAGAGGATTTTAAAAATTAGGATTAAAATTAGGATTCAAATAGGATAATTTCCTATTGCAATGCACCCCAATGAAATAATCCAAAAGTTTTCTGTCTAATGCTGCAGTTCATTGAGTACCCCAATTCGGACAGGCCATCAGTATAGATTGTTAGCGTTCTTCCAAAATAGTACTGATTCTTGACAGCTGTCGTATTTTGGGAAACTAAAGGATGAAGAAACAAAGGGAAACAAGAAAATCCATTTCTTGCACTCTCAGACCTATTCCCTGAAGCCTGACAT